CAGAGGGAAAGTTTCAGTTACAAGCCCTAGGTCCTGTCAGATGGCATTATTAGCTGTGGAATACATGGAAGCTAGGTGATTGTTTATGGATTAGAAAAAGGATTTTACCAGATAGTGACAAGGATGTTAGGTCAAACACAGAGGTGGAAAGTAAATTGCCATCGAGGGCTAAAGAAAGTCTGAGATAATTCAACACTGAATCTGCAACGTTCCAGTTTTCTATGATGAGAGACATTTCGATCAGTTACTCTTGTAGAATCTTTAACACAGGTGAGGCATTTTTTGCTGGAAATATCAGTTGACAAATAAAAGACATGTTTTACTATGCTCATAACAAAAATATTTGTATTAGTCCCAAACCAGAACAAATAAAGACAGGGTCAGGAGTGTAGCTCCAGGGGTGGAGTGCCTGTCTACCTTGTGTGAGGCCCTGAGTTTGATTCTTAGCATTTCAGGGAAAGGAAGAGAAAGAAAAATAATGGAGAAGGGAGAGGAGGAAAGGAAACAGAGGGAGACTAGGAATATGGGAAAGGAAGATAGAAGGAAGATACCGGTGAGGGACAGGGACCAGAAAAGGGGCAGAGTAGAGTCCAGAAAAGGTTGAGAAGGGAGGAAAGAGAGAGGGAGAGGTTATTATTCTTGAGCATAGAGGACTGAAAGGGGCACAAGAGAGGCTTCTGGATGGTTGGTCATGTTCTGTATCCAAATCTGGGGAACGGTTATATGAATGTCTTTAGTTTGTGAACACTCATTAAAATGCATACTTAAGACATGTTCCTTTCTGTATATATATATCTTAGCTTCTTTTCCTATTGCTGTGTTAAAATTCTATGACAAATGCAACTTAATAGAGAAAGGGTTTATTCTAACTCACAGCTTCAGGCAACAGTTCCTCATGACAGAGAAGTCAAGGCAGCAGAAGTTTGAAGCAGCTGGTCACACTATGTCCAAAGTTCAGAAAAGAAAAATGAATGCATGTTGTTGGTCAGTTTTCTTTCTCCACTTACATTGTCCTGAAAGATTTGGTTATGGAATGCTGCCACTCACAGTGGGCAAGTCTTCTCCCCTCAACTGACCCAAAATTAAGACAATCTTTCTTGTGCATACCCACAGGCTCATCTCTCAGTTGATTCTAGATTCTGTCAAGTTGTCAAGTTAACAATTAACATTAACTATATAGTTATTTATACACAAACACACACACATATATATGTTTAAATTTTAAACATTTTAAATTTGTCAAGTAAGATACTCCCTAACATTTGGATCTCAAAATCAAGTAGCATGCATCATCCAAAATTCACTTTCCTCAGATAAGATTATTTAGCTAAGTATGCTAATAACTCTTGCCTTTACTTTTCCCTCACATCTCTTTGCAGGTGCCAGTCAAGGACTTCCTTTATTCCCTACATCTGGCAGTTATAAAAATAAAACCACCGATGCACTTTTGGGGTCCTTCAGATAGGCCTGACTGGAGGGATAGTCAACTGCCACAACTGATGCCCTCATTCAGCCAGGTTGGTTATTGCTCCAATTACCTATTGGTAGTTAGAATTACTTCTTCAGAGGAGAGAACGGTGAGAACAGGTGTTTAAAAACTGGCTATGTAGCTTAGGGTTTCAGATATGAGCACACACAGTAATAACAACAACAACAACAACAACAACAACAATAACAATGCTTCTTTCTTAACTAAAACAAGAAATGTCCTTAGGCCTTTTGACAGCCTCACTCTTGCCAGTAGCCAGAGATGCCCAGAAGTGTTTGTGAGTCTGATGCCTGATCTGGTTCCTAAATGACTTTAGGGTAACCTCTTCCAGCAGGGGCAATGTTAGAGTAGCAATAAAGGCCCATTAAGGGAAAAATTCTACTCAAGAAAATAGCATCTCTGGCCTGAGTGGAGACATTGGACTGGGCCAATCACCTAGCCAAAAAACACCCCTAAAAAGGTGGGCTCATCTTAAGGAAGGCAAAAGAATAGGTTCAATAATTTTTCCTTTAATGAGATACTGTTCTTTCCTTCCCAGAATCCTCGCTTCCCCCTCCACTCTCCCAACCTAGCACAGTTCCTAAGAATCACCATGAGGTTTTGCTGGGTTTGCCCACCTTTCTGTAATCTGAGGTCAGAATGGCATAAATCTTTCCTTTTCCTGTCTCTTTCTTTTAGATGCTGGCCAGAACCTAAGTATGTTTTTACTGATATACTGGGCTTCCTTACTCTTTCTCTAAAGTTCCCCTCCCTGCCATGTGTCTACTTGTCTGCCCTGTGTCTGACCTCTATGCTGGCTTAACTGGCATGTTATTTTTTTTCCTTCTCTCCTCCATTCTCCTCTTAGAAGTTGCTGAGATTTTCAGCTTGCCTAGCACAGGACTTTTTCTTGAAAACACTAATAAGATTGTCCTTGAGCTTAAAAGAAAGTTTTTTCTACCAACATATAAAACTCCATACAAAGGACCATAAGAGGCAAAGCAATACAGTGAGGAAGTCTTGAGTAACCTTTATGGAGGGAGTGATTCCTGACCTCTGCGGATCTCTACCACCATAACTGAGTGATTTGTAAAATACAGGGTGCATGCTGGACAGAGTTCTACCTTCAATTTACGTTAGTACTTTCAGGTTGTAGGTGAGTACCCAGATAAAGGCCTGAAACTTTCATTCGGTTCAAGTTAACTACGAGATTGTCACTTTGCTCCCCCAACAGACACTGGGTGGTGCTACTGTTCAAAAACTGTGCTTTACAATGCATTATTAATTTTCAAATTTTTACTATTTGAGAGTTTCGTAGATGAATAACGTATTGACATCATTTCCACCCCTTCCTCTCCCCCTAACTTCTCCCATGCTTTCCTACTCCCTCTCAATTTTGTGACCACTTCTTTATTATTGTTTTACACATGCACGCACACACACACACACACACACACACACACTACTTACTGAGTCCATTTAGTGTTTCTCATATGTACACACATTTAGGCTGACCACTTGGGATTGGATAATCTATCATGGAGCTTCTCCCCAGAGAAAACTGATTCTCCTTCTCTCAGCAACCATTGATTAGCTGTAGCTCTGCAAATAAGAGGCAAAGCCTTGTGAATTTTTCTCCATATTGACATGGCAACTGGCATTGTCATTATGCACATCTCGTTTAGGTAACCATATTGTTGAGATTTCATGGGTTCAGCTTCCCTATCATGTCTAGAAGAAACTTTCTAGTACCAGGTGTTCTGGTTCTCTGGCTCTTATCTTTCTGCCCCCACTTCTGAGCTGTTCCCTGTGCCTAAGGTGTAGGGGTTGCATTGTAGATATATCAGTTGGGGCTTATCACCCCATGGTCACTTTTTCTATACATTTTGACCAGTTTGGGATCTTTGTAAGTCTTCACCTGTTGCCAAAAAAAAGCTTATTTGATGAGGGGTGAGAACTACACTTATTTGTGCATATAAGTATTTGTATAGAGTTAGAAATTATATTGTTTTAAGAAAATTAAAGTAGTAGATTCTCTCTAGGGTCTATGACCTCTCCATCCATGGATATTTGACTAAATTTACAGTATCAGGTGTGAGTTCCCTTCTATTGAACAGGCCTTAAGTTCAATTAGGCATCTGTTGGTTACCTACAAGATAAGAATAGAAAGAGACCATGGTGAGGGAGTTGGAGAGGAGGATAGCAAGACACAGGCGTCATCAAGGGGGAAATAGGAAAAATGGAGAAACTGAGGAGGGGTAGGAAAGGTAATACAGAGGGAGAGGGAGGAATGAGAGTTAAATGATACTAAGGATGTCTGAAAAAGTCATAGGGAAATGTATCATTTTTTAAGCATAGTTTAAAATACATTATATATATTATATATGTATATATACATTATATATGTATGTAGTTTAAATGGAGTTATGTCAAATGTGATGATAATGCCCTCCCGCACCCCCAAGACAGCCCCATAGGCTGTCTTCCAAAAACCCCAGTGCCAGATATGGGAAACCTCCTTTTGAGTGATGGTTCGAGTAGTTAGTTCATGGGACTCCTCAAAACAATATAGACTATAGCAATTGCCCTTGGTTCCCTGCTAGAACTTGAAGGTAAGGACCCTATTGCTGAAGACACCACACACTTTAGACATAAGATTTGAGGAACTGAGCTGGAACTGACCTGGCAGCCTCTTCCCTGAGGACTAACTTTCCATAGTATCAGAAGGTGCTATTTAAGCTGCCGAGGGAGTAAAGCAGTCAGTAGTACTACCCAGCTGTAAAGCCTAATAATCACAACAATGACCAAGCAGGCAAGAGATCTCTAATAGTGCGATCCTGGCAACTTTGGCTTGGCTGTGTGTTTTGGTTTAAAGTCAGCCTACAGACATTTTTTCATTCTGTGTTTCTTGTGGGTCAAGCAAAGCACCAGGGATTGCAGATACTGAAGCAGAGTCTCGAGATTATTCTAAGAGGATTATTGTCATGTTTAAAGTCATAGAAAGTCTAAAATGTCACTTTTACCTAGAAAATTTTCAGGAGTGGATGACCCCAAACCACTGGCCCACACACCTGCACTAGGAGCTGGCCAGAGATTAGATTAGATGTCACAAAGCATTGCTTCCAAACCACAGATCACCACAATTATATTTCAGTTCCAAAGGCCATATAAAGCCCAGAATGCCAGGATACAGCTCATTGAGTTTGGATCTCAGAGTCCAGATCTTCAAATCTCACAGGGTAAGATGTATCTGTTTAGTGTGAGGCTCCTGATTTGGCTGAGGAATTAATGCATTTGTTTTGAAGAGACCTTGCACCGCACGCCCGCCCCCCAGGGCTAAGGCAGAGGAAGAGGATGGGAACTGAGCTCTGCTGAGAATTCCTCCGGGGCCAGTCAGAACGTCAAGCCCTATTGTAAGGGCGTGTGCTGAGGTCCTAAGCTAAGCTGAGACCTCACCACCCAGAAAGCCAAGTGGAGGAGAGGGTGGGGCAGGCGAGCCTGGGACCGAAGTTCAGTCAGCGAGAACTGGGCGTGGCCTGCCTTGGAGCTTATAACCGTGGTGCTTTGCGCGGGAACGCCAGACGGTTCCTGCGCTAGCACTGCTGTTCTCCCGTGGCTTTGCAAGTGCTCTCGAGCTCTCAGGTGAGAACGCGCTGCCCAGCCTGGGTGCAGGACGGTGGGGACGGCCGGGGCGCGGACGCCGAGAAGGCCGGGCTGGGGCGACGCTGCGGGTCTACGCCACACGATTTGCCAGGTCTTTGTTTCTCAGCTACGCTGCCCTCTGAAGGAGATGAGGAGCCGAATGTCCGGGTCCCACTCTGGGAGGCTTGAGGGGACTGGTGGCTTGGAGGTGACAACGAGAATCGGGGTGACTTGAAAATGGCCTTCTGTGGTTGGCGCCTCGCCTCTTTGTTCATTAGGCTGGGCGCCATCCGTCAGTGACAAATTATTTTCAAAGGGCACAGTCCTGACAAACGCCTCCTGCCCCGCATGCAATTACTTCTGTGTGAATCTCAGTTTCCCCAGCTTTGAACTCGTCTCTGCTCACTCGGTGAAAGAGAGCGTTAAGGTACCCTCGACTGAATGGAGGCGTGTTTGTGACGTCTGGAAGGTTGGGGGGGACTCTTCCTGCTACTGTGGACACTGCAGGTGTGTCCTACTCCTCTAAGGTGTGGCCAGGCACGTGGTGAAGAGCTCGGCCTTCCCATCTATGGAGTCCCTTACTACTGGCTCTTCTGAACAAATTTGTGAAGTTTAGATGGCACTAGGCATGTCTTAGTGTTCCGTTTTTGCATTGTGCCTCCCCTTTACAGAGAAAACAGGTTGCACTAGGACTCAACCTTCTGTTTGATTTACCTCATTCTCCGAAAGTCCCGAGTCAGATCTCAATTAGCTGTTTCTCTTACATGTTTGTTAATGCTATAAGACGCTATTAGGAGACAGATAATTGGCTATGACCTGAGTAAACCCTTCCCTTTCTTGTTGTAGGACTCTTTGGACATTTAAAATAGAAATTGTTACAATATTCCTGTACCACTCTCATGTGCACTATTTCAGCCCAACACAAAAAGTAAATGAATAGAAGGTGAAGATGCTCATCTAGGCCTGTCTCCTGGTAGAAAATCATAACTAGGCCAATCCAGTCCTTTATTTGGTCTTCTATGACAGTCTGCTCATGTGCTATCTTTTCCATTTTATCTTTGGTAGGGTTTCAAAATTCAGGCAATTGACTGTGTATTTCTAGAAGATCGTGATTTCTAGTGAATCTTCATCAACTTTCATTTACTGCCACTACAGATGTTTGAGGCTAATGCTGTGGAATTAAAAGTATTCTAATAAAAACATGACTTTGTATGATGTTGTTTTTCTATTGAAAATCACCACGTAAAATGTACATTGATTATTAAAAGAGAATTTTTTTGGCTCTTATCCTTTCTTTAGTCACAATGAGTGATAAGCCAGACTTGTCCGAAGTGGAGAAGTTTGACAAATCAAAATTGAAGAAAACTAATACTGAAGAAAAAAATACTCTTCCATCAAAGGAAAGTAAGTTATGACAGTTTGTAGTTGAAGTGAACAGTGCTGTAAGTTGATGTAATCAGTTTTAAAAACGGGTCGAAGCCAGCCTGATCTTCAGAGCAAGGTCCAGGTCAGCCAGGGCTACAGGGAGACCCAGTCTCAAAAACAAAGAGTCAATCTTAGAATATTTGACTTATTACTAGAAAAAATAAACTTTGAATGCTTTTATTCATCTGTTGTTTTTCTGAATCTACAAATTTGAGTCTGTGATCCCATCCCCTTAGTAAGTCATGCAGACTCTGCACTTTTGGCTTTCTCTGCCTAATAACAAAAAATGGAAGAATTAAGTTCAAATCATATATTTAAGGTTCCCAGACTCTAGGATCAGTGTTGCTCTCCAGAGTTGAAGCCTTCTGAAAAATATTCAGAAATGCTAAGCCATACTTTTTGTCACCTCAGTGTTATTCAATAGCTCCAAAAGTAGATTAAAATATAATTTCCTTATTGGTCAGAATAAATTCCTTACTATACATTAATATATTTGAAGAAAATGCTTCATTGACATTTTAGCCTCAAAGAATCAGAAAAAATGGCAGTAGCATAAATGTATCTTAAACGGAATGTCAAACCCGTTGTCGATTCAGTTTCAAATGAATGTTCAAATGCTTAACGTTCATGTACATATCACTTTGTGAGAATTTATGGCTGGTACCTTGGTATTCTGAATTTAAAGCATGTGTAGGAATCATTTAAAGGTTTAGTGCAGAATTCTTTTTAATGGTGCTGGGTGTCAGACTCAGGCCTTAGTGCATGCTAAACAAGCACAATACCACTGTGGTACACTCCCTAGTCAGGTAGCAAAGAACTCTGTAAAGAAATAAACGTATTGGGAAAATACTCTGCTAATGATTTTTTGTATGTTTGTTCTTATCCCTAGCTATCCAGCAGGAGAAAGAGTGTATTCAAACATCATAAAATGAAGATCTCCCAAGAGCAACCTTCAGCGTTCCCTAAGAGTCTTGGGGTTTTGGCTTGTTATTGTAAAACCTGTGTGTTTGTAGAGATTTTAGGCACTCTTCTCACCTATACTGTCTGGCAGTGGTCAACAGTTGCCAATGTTCATTAAATTTGTTTCTAAGCTTCTCACTGGTGTGTAAATCCCATTATTAATAATCTCACTATTGTTCACCTCAGTGCAGGTAGTCTTTTCACCTGCTGTGAAGCAAGCCATCTTTAGCCTACTATGGGTGCCTCAATTATCATCTTTATGAAGTTGCATGCTTTGCAGCTCCTTAAGCTTATTTTCATTTCTAATGCAGCATTAAATATAATCACAAACTTCCTGTGGTACATTCTTGGTGTTCTAAAGAATGAGGGTACTTTTCTCAATTAAAAATAGTTGTAGGAAAACCTCCAACAGATTATGCACATGTAAAATGTTCTCCTTTGTTCAGATCCAGTGTATACTGACTTGTAGGTGTTAGAAGCCATTCCTGTATAATTGAAGTCATAGAGAACTTTGGGAGGGGACATAATGAAAACTAATGTCCTTATTGCAGAATGGAAACATGAAATCTAAAGTGATCTATATAGTGTGTAAAAGGATCACTTTGCTTTCTGGAAAGTGTTTTTCAACCTAATGGTAACACATAAATCTGAGGTTGGAGGGGGAAAGGAGCATGAGACACTTGAAACATACTAAGCTCATCAAGGTCTTCTATTGAGTGTACACTGAGATATCTGCAGATGATCTGTAGTAGTCAACCTTTCTTCTGATCTCTTGTACTGAATAGAATTTACTGTCTTATAAACCAATTATTTTGGTCCTCTTGGTCAACTTAACTGCTGTTGACTAAAATGTGTCTTCAGAAATCTTTTGTGAATCATTAGCCATCAAAATGTTTATACCTTATGAAAGGAGTCACTTGGTCCTTTACAGTGACATGCTTATACAGTACCCAAATGTGGCTCCCTATAGCTTCTATCAAATAGTCCTAGGATTATGTAATGCAATTCACATAGCACAATTAATTTGAAGTCAGTTGTGTGTATGCTTCCACAGTCAGTCTTCTCAGATCCTTTGACCCATGTTACACAAATTACACAAATGGGGAGCTTTCCTGATTCAAGATGTGCAACAAGTTTACTCCTTAGATTTCTGGATTCTGATTCAATCACACATCTTTTCTCCTTTGACAGTGCTATTTGAAGAACTGATGTGATATTCTGCACCTATTATAGACTCAGTAATCTCTGCATGTCACACTCAACCAGCTCAAAGGAAAGGATGAACATGCCAGCAGAGCTAGAAGTTGGGCAGTAGCTCCTAGTTTTGAGTGGCATTTGATAGCAATCATTTTATTCAAGTGGTGACTCTCCTCTTGGCAGAGCAAGTTCCAAACTGGGAACAGATGAGAAAGGAAAGTAAAGACGCATAGTTAAGTGAATACTAATACAGTAAGGGCATTGTGGAAAACAATGTCCAGCAAAGATTTTTCACGCATTTATTAAATATATAATGTTGGGCTACTCTTGTTGCTACAGTCACTTGCCTTAACTGGCCACGGGAAGATCCACCCCCACCCACAGTAAATAGATTGAGATTTAGGGATGTATATCTATTAGTTAAAACTGACAGCACTAAGGCCTCCTATAGCAATTACAGTCAGAGGAAAAGGGAAAAATGTGGAATTAAATTTTTATCTCGTGTATGTCTATATCTTATGAATATCAGTGATCAGTGTTTTTATACCTTCATTCTGTCAGTGTACATAGGTGATTTTATTTAAAATGGAAAAGAATGAAACTTAGAAAAATATGTTGGAAATTAATCAAAAGAGAAAAACTACCCTGCAAACAGTTTTTATGCCCACTTTTAGAAGTGCCAAAATCTTATTTATGGGCCTTGGGTGTAATCACCAATGATTTTGCAAAAAGAAGGAATCTCATTGTCCCAGTTTGTCTCTCCATTGCTGTGACAAAACACTCTGACCACTACCAACTTGGGGAGGAAAGGGTTTATTTTATCTTACATCTCCCGGTCACAGTTTATCAGGGAGCCCACGGTAGGAACTCAGGGCAGGCGTCTGGTGGCAGGAGCTGGAGCACAGGCCATGGAGGAACGCTGCTTACTGGCTTGCTTCCTTGGCCCCTGCTCAGCTTGCTTTCTTATGCAACACAGGCCCACCTTCCCAGGGGTGGCACCACCAACAGTGGGCTGGGCCCTCCCACATCACTCAGCAATCAAGATGCCCCATGGACATGGCCACAGGCCAGCCCAATGAAGGCAATTCCCCAATTGAGGTTTCCTCAATCCAGGTATGTCAAGTTGACACTAAAGCTATCCAGCACACTCATATACTGTCACTAAACTACAAAGGCAAATGAGTTTTATAAACACCCCAGAAATTTAAAAATGCATATTCATAACTAATAATAACTTGTCCTTGGTCTCATAGGTGTGAAATTATGTTTGAATTTAGCCTTGACAACTTTTTACCTGTATGAACTTCAAGTAGAGGTAATACTATGTAATTCACAGGGCTGTTACAGAAAGAAATTGAGGTATTCCCTGTAAAGTGTTTAGCACAGCGCCTGGCACAGTTACTGGTCAGCCAATAGAGACTGTTCTTAGTAGTACAGTAAGTCCTGGATTAAATGACACCAACCAACTTAGGAAGGTCAGCTATAATAGTGATAAGGAGAGGAAATGCAATATACTGGAAAGTTCAGAGATAAGGTAAATTCTTTGAATTTTCTGATACATGCTACAGGACTGCTAGTGTCCACTAAATTCCTATTTAATATACTAAGTCCTCAACTGTACTACTGAACTATGTATTTTCTTCTAGATTACATAAAATGGAGAGGAACCTCCTCTAAAGAGATAATAATACTAATAGAACTATGATTACTAAGGCATTGATTGATGGGTTTACTGATATATCTGATGTATAACCGAGAAGTCTACATAGGAGAACAACATTGAGATTTCTCTAGCAATGTTTGGATGCAAAAACCTGTATTAGTCATGAATTTCTAGAGAAATCAAACCAACACTGTGTCTGCCTATCTAGAGATTTATATTAAGAAATTGACTCATGTGATTATGAAGGCTGGCAAGCCCAATATCTGCATGGTAGACTGGCATGCTGCAGTCTCAGGGAGAAGCCACTGCCACAGTATGATTACAAAGGCCCACATAAGCTGGGTGTTGTGACGCAAGCCTTTACTCTCAGCACTTGGGGGACAGAAGCAGGTGGATTTCTATGAGGTCGAGACCAACCTGGTCTGCACAGTGAGTTGCAAGCCAGCTAGGGCTACACAATGAGATCCCATCTCAAAAAACAAAAACAAAAAACAAAACAAAACCCAGCCAAACAATAACAACAACAAAAAGGCCATCATGCTGGAGACCAAAGAGAGCTAAATGTTGGGTTCAAGTCAGAAGACTGCTACAGAACTTACTCTTGCTTTGGGGTGAAGTTATGTCTTTTTGTGCTATTTGGCCTTCAACTGATTGGATGAAGCTTATCTACATTATGGAGAGTAATATATTTTACCCAAGTCCTTTAATTTAAATATTAACCTTACCCAAAACATTTTGTCACAGTGATGGACTATAAAATAATAGAATCAGATAAGCCTGGATGAGCTATAAGAGTGACTTTTGCGTTAAGGAAGCTTAAATATTTATTTTAAAATTTTATTTATTCATTAATTGTTATTTTTGAGGTAGGGTCTCACTGTGCAGCCCAGGCTGTCCTCAAATGTGTAATCTCCTATCTCATCCTCCAAAATTCTTGGATTATAGACACATGCCAACAAATGTAACTCATTTTTAAGTTTTCTTGATTTAGCTGTTTCTTTACCCTATTTGAGTCTTTGGTATTTTTAAGAGAATTTCATATTAGGGGTATGTATGATACATTTATATTTTTTCCTGTTTGCTACTTCTAAATTTTTATTTGTAGTAGTAAACAATTATCTTTTTTGAAATATTGTATGATTCAAGTTTTGATTACTGATATTTCAAGAAAGAGTTTTGCAGCCTTAATATGACTATTCAAATTTTATTAGCCTGCTTCCATTAACATGTTCTATCATGATGAACCAATGATTTTTTGGGGGGATTACTAACAAGGAATATGGGCCAAGTGTTATTTACAGGAGCAGGGATGATTCAAAAACCCCAGCATTACTAAAAGGCCCACTCCAAGATGGGTGACAACTGACTACATCTGCAGCCCTGGAGGTGTCTGCATAGCTTGAAAACAACTCAGTCTCTTTCTCTTTCTTTCTCTTTTTCTCTTTCTCTTTTCCCTACCCACACCCCTGCAGTTGTTTACTCCATTTGTGAAGCTGGGGAGGGATTGTGGAGCATTTTCCAAGTTTCTGTTCTTCCAGACTTGTGACCTTTTGTTTACCTTCTGAGGCTCATGGACATTTCCCTCCCTCCTAGAGGGAGGGAATATTTCAATTCTGAGGAAAGTCCCATACAACAAGATCTGATGGTAAACACAGTTGGAAATCTGGCCATTTGGGATGGTACCTCATGAATGGTCTCTTGTTTCTTCAATTCTTAATCCTTAAGTCTTTGTTTGCTCCAATTTCTATTTTACCATTGTGCTGGATAGCTTCAGTTATCAACTTGACACACCTGGGAAGAGGGGCCAGCAGTTAACGGAATTTCCTCTATTGGATTGGCCTGTGAGCATGTCTGTGAGGCATTTTCTTAATTGTTGAGTGATGTGGAAGGACTTATCTCACTGTGAGTAGTGCCGCCCCTGGACAGGTGGTCCTGGGTTCTATAAGAAAATAGACTGGGTACAGGCCAGAGGAAGAAGTTAGGAAGCCGCTTACCTCCATGGTCTGTGCTTCAGTTCCTGCCTCCAGGTTGCTGCTCTGACTTCCCTCGGATGAACTGTGACCTGGGAGATGTAAGGTAAAACAAACCCTTTCCTCGCCAAGCTAGTTTTGGTCAGTGTTTTTGTCATAGTGATAAAAAATAAACCAGAACAATTGTGTCATTTTTTTAGGTTAATGTATAAGAAATGTATTTAATTACAACACTTTCATTGCATTTATTGAGATCAGGTCTGTGTAGTCAATGCTGGCATGGAACTCACTTTACTAACCCAGGTTGA